CAATAAACTTAAGCAGTTTTCATATGAACATTTTTGATGGAAGTGAGTAATTGTGACAGAAAAATTTCATGAAATTTAGATAAAGAATAAATATTACCAAGACTAGTAAATAATTCTCTAGTAATTTTTAATTTTAACTTATCACTAACAATAAGAGCGATAAATAATTCTGATAATAAATAATGATTTCTCACTTTTGATTAACGTATTACACGTCGCTATTTAAAATTTAAAAAAAGAATATAACCGAAAGATATATTAGCAATAATATAAATGCAATAAAAATTTCATAATATTTATTGCGAATAAGAATAAAAAGAGATGAAGGACAAAAAGAACAAAATAATCTTCGTACTAGCAATTCTTACTTAATTACATTCTTTTTCAGCCAGTGAGCCTCTAGTTTGTCTCAAAACGCGAACTTATTTTTGGGATAATGTAAGAACGCTTGAATTTATAACATAATCGGATAAACTAAAGTAGCATTAAGAAATTGCACTTTATTAGCTACAATAGGGCAAGCTATTCCGTGCAATTTCCTTTTTAGTGACTTTATTTAACCGTGCAAAGAAACTACTAAGCATGTCTTCCGTTTCATATTTTCCAGAATGTTGCAATTTGATCGTGAAATTATATCAAAATCAAATTTTATTTCCACACCGATGATTTTATAATATTAAAGCAGCAGCTTTTACAATATAATTGAATTTGAAATTAATTCATTCATTCAACTGTTCATGATATAAATGTATGACGAAATTAAGTATGAAACGTAAAGTTAAGGGAATTTTTCCTGACTTGTTATTTTGTTTTGCTGTCTAGCTTGAACGTGGAGCTGAATCGATTGCGTCTGGGTGCGTAAGGTTCTTTTTCGAATCCACCCCTTTTTTTTACAAAAATTTAATATCCTTCTGTACCTTCAAGATTTTTGCCTCTTTCGCTATCTTCTCCTTTTCTTTCGATTTCTTAATTTAATTTGTATATACGACATACATGTGCGTGAGAAATTTAATTAACGCATGGTAAAAAAGATCAGTGTTATTAAATCTCAACACTTAAATCTTAGCGCAATTATTGATGACTATCGACTCTTTAGACCAATTTCTTTTTTTTTTTTTCTTTCTTTCTTTCTTCTTCATTTATTTAATAACACTAATTGCTCGTTTAAAGATGTAAAGAACTTTCTTGTGATCGACAAAACAAGTTTTTTAAATCGTGGAAATTCTTGGAAGCAATACATCGGCAGTTTTTCAGTGCGAAGTCAGGTAATTCGAGAGGGCAGCTGAATCGATTGCATCTGGGTGGTGCGTATATCTCGCATTAATTGCTGTTTGCCCTAAATTTCACTGATATTCGTATAATTGATTTAACTAGTTACTTAATTGATGAATGCATATGCAAACGAAAAAAATCAATCAGCTGCTTAAAATAATTAAATAAGGTATCGTAGTATAATAATTAACTAGTAAGTAGTAGTAGCTATTAAAGTAATAGTAGTAAAATAATTCAATAAAGTTGATTGCTTAAGACAATTAAATAAAGTAATATCTCGATTGATATCGGAAATGTTCCAAATAAAAATTTATTAACGGAGTATTACAATAACTTTGTTGCCTTGAAAAAGATATTTCAAGGTTTCTTATGTCAGCAAAGTTTAAGAATTTATTTAGGTTAGGTTTAGGTTAGGTTTAGCAACACAAACTTTATTTTCGTGTATTGTCTATTATTTAAAATAGACGAAACAATGGAATTGTAGAAAACTCTTTTTGTTACAATTTAACATAGCCATTTAAAAAAAAAAAAATCCTTTATCACAGTATTCTATACATACAAAATTAAAAACTTACGAAAGAATCTCTTTTTCTTTTAACTAAAACGCTACAACTAGCAAGATATTTTTTAATGAATCATAAGTGAATTGTAACGTAATGTAAAAGTTTGCGTCATTTTCGATGATCCTACTGTTAAATCTAGGGGTCTCGGTAGAAATGATGATTCAGATTCGTCGAACTTATTAAACTGCAGCTACGAGCATCTATTCAACACCGCCTGGATTGTTGTGCATCGATATTTTACCAAGCGATTAACAATAGTGCTTATGTCAGCACCGAGGCAAGCATCGCGTCTAGTTTGAAAATGTTCAACGAGGAATAAGTGCATTTAAATATAGATTTCCAGTCAGAGAACGAATATGTTCTTCCTACGAGCTTGCGTCCTACACTACGGCCCAGTTTATCCCCGTCCCTCCCCCGCCCTCTGACTGTCTATTCATCATATCAACGCACGGTATACTCGTTTTCGTCGCCAATCAGTCGAATCTCGAAATGATTATCGATCGAAAGTCAAACATACCGGATACGTTTGATTATCCCGCGAAGACAATAGACACGAGACTCGTAGGAGTTTACTTTGCAATCAAACACGGCCACTTTGAACGTGAAATTTTTATTAGATTCGAAAATTTTCTAGAAGTTGAATGTCGAATAAATAAAGCCGAAGATAAAATTACTAAAAAAAAAAAAGGGAGAAATATTTCAATATCCGTAACTAGTAAGACTAATTAATCATGTACGTATTTTGAAGTTATAGTAATTTTTCTACAATGAACAGGAAATTTAACTTATCATGTACTTTTCTTATTTCTTTTCATGTGAGGAAGAGAACGTATAGATATTTGAATTATGATAGCTATTTGTAATGATGTTCCACGAATGAAATACATACATTAGTTGGTTGAACTTGGACCAGTTGGCGCGAAATTGAGGAGCCAGATACTTTCGAAGAAAAGCTCCGGCATGTGTCATCGTGTTATCGGCTTTCCGAGA